AAAAAAAAAAAAAAAAAGAAAAGAAAATTTTACTTCATTTATTTTAATTATATATGGTCTTGTCGCTCGTATCTTGAAAATGCTGCTGATGTTCTCTCTCACGACTTATAGGAAATTATTCTCTTTTCCCTCAGAATGATGAAAATCTTTGTTTTAGTTCTCTGTGCAAGTTTGCATCTTGGCAGTGCAGGTATGAATTTTAATCCTCAATGAGTTTTTTGACTGTTTTGTCTTTTTGAAATGTAACAAGAGAGTAATGCATGTAAGGTTCACTATTTAATGAACTTCGCTCAGCCTTTCCCAGGAAGTGGTCATCATTTATGCAATCCTATCACATGACCTTATCAAAGCTTTCATGCATGCTCTAAGAGTTACAGGCTAGGGCCTCGAATGCCCCCGCCCCCTCTCCCCTCCAACTCCTCGAGACAAAAAGAGCTCGGTTAGAACAGGGCTAAGCATCAAACATTTCATAACATCATTTCTGTGGTACAGAGTATAAACCGCTGCCAAAATGTAGTAGGAGAAAGAAACAGAGATATGCGATTCCGATATCCAAGCTCCTGAAACTCTAAACGGCATGAAAGTTGCTAACACTTCCTTATTGTTTCAGTTTCTTTTGACTCCGCTACCATCACACCAATTGGATGTTTTTTCGACTTAAAGTGGTATCCGGTTATCCCTATAAAGTTTTCTTCACGGTACTTACAGTTCAGAGTGGAGATTATCGGTCTAAAACACTTATGAACCGTTTCAGACTATTCTGGCAAACAGCAACCATTTTTTTCTATAAAAAATGATTACTTTTTAACCAATCGTGTATAGATCTCGTACTGCAGCACTGAACAAGTAATCATCAAACTTGAGGAGAGTTCAGTGAATATATAATTATCGACAAGTGCCAGAAATCAAACGTTGTATGGTTTAGAAGGAAATCAAAGTAAGCTCAATTTATGTTTATAAAGACTCAATAGCAAATAGAAATTTGTCAAATTAAGCCCAGAATTATCCAGTCAAGCATTAGAACAAGTCAAAGCAATTTTAGTGTTGTCTACATTTTTTGATAGCTGCGAAGAAAAAGACTATTATCGTGTCGTTTCAGTAGGACAGTTCGGTTTTAACCGCCCCTCGTACTGCGGGCGCCGCCACCGTATGCAAGGAGTGGGGTATGCCCCCAAACCACCAAGCGCCTCGCTTCTTTGGCTCTCGATTTACATTCTCTCAGATGCGTCAGTACTCCATGAAAAATGCACCCTACGACCCTGAAAGTTGCTAATACATCCTTATTGTTTCAGATTCTTCTGATTCCGTTAACTTCATATCAATTGGATGTTACTACCCCGGGGCCGCACCACGGGCGATCCCTAGCCTAGAGGGACAAGACCCACGTCTGGATGGAGGGAACTACAAAACGAGAAAAGATGCAATAGAAAAGTGCGCGTCTGTAGCTAAGCAACGCGGATACAAAGTGTTTGCTCTTCAAGATGGCGGCATGTGCTCAAGTAGTTCCACCGCGCACATGACCTTTCAGACATATGGCTGGTCAAGTCAGTGCAAAAGCGATGGAAGAGGAGGGAGGATAGCAAATCATGTTTACGCTGTTGGAGGAATCAAGGGTATGACCACTTTGTTTATTTTTTATTTATAAAAATAAATGAAACCTATTAAACAGTTAAAGGGAGGAGACCACATAGAGCAGGGACAATTTTCTTTCAAGAAAGAGCGATTATAAGAGGCCGCGGAGTTGTCGTGAACAACAGCGAGCTAAATAACCTTTTTATTTATAAGAGAATGACGTAAATAGTTTTGTAGATAACTGATTTTGCTTCGTGTCCACGTGGCCAAAATCACGTGGACACGAAGTGTATGTGGGCCATAGCTAAATTCCTTTATAAGAAATTCCTGTGTAACCATTCTCTGCGTTCCTAACTAAGATTCCTGTAAAGGGCGCTTCGTTAGTTAATCAATTTTGTTTACGGAAGACAGGCATAAAACGTTGAATTGACGTGTGCTATTGATTTTGGCAACCACGCTGTACAGATTCAAGACACTCCGTTAAAAACATACCCTATTTATGACGAAAATGGCCAAACTCGGTACCCTATTTATGATCAAAACAGTTGAAAAACCATACCCTTTTGAGGCTGCACATACCTATTTACCCCATATCGGGGAGCACCCCACCTCCCCAGGGCCCCGTTGATTCCTTTTTAAACGAGGACCTTGGAGACCCAAGCATTTGTAGCTTTGTAACAGGCTGTTTTTAGCATTTTATTTTATTAGTGTCCGTGCCCTCTGCTCACGCAATTCGCTTGGGTTTAAATCAAATTTGACAACAAATAACAGGCTTATTTAAGATGTTGAAGTGACGGGTTTTGCAGAAAAATCTAAAGATGATTATGAGTGGATAAAAAACTAACCTCAAAAGGCATTTTCTGCGAACAAGTAAACAGATACAACTCCCAAAAATTAATTGTTAGGTCTCTGATCTTTATCTGTCAGATCAGGGCATCAGGCTTAAAGGACGTAGAAGATATAAATGGACGGAAGGTCAAAACTGACATCTGTAGTTCAATCTTGTCCGCGGTGAAACCCACAAAACGTCTTGTTGCCACTCCATTTGTAGTATCCAAAGTCAAGTCTACCACTAAGGAGTTACGAATAACATTTTTTTTTTTGTGCTTTTGTTTTTCGTTTTAATCAAAATGTTAAAGGAAAGCTGCATGCGACTCAGTTATTAGTTAAACTTTTGAATAATATTTATAAAGCCAAACTGGTTTTGCATAGTCTGTATATTCTTGTGAGTTTTGTTTTGTAAACAGCTCCCCAGCTTATGACTCAATCATGATTCAACTGAGGTAAATTAGAGTATAATATAATTGTTTGAGGACACTCAGATCAATACAGTTGCGTAATTTCGTCTCCCGAGTAATTTTCAAGGTCTTTTTTTTTATCACCAACAGGTCAAGGGCTAAGTTCACCTCTGGCAACTAATTTTAACATTTCCGAAATCTCAGTTGCATCCTAGAAGGAATCTTTTTGGTTCGTCAAACATTACAGTACGAACTCGTGAGAAACCTGTACAGGGTGATATTAAAGATTGTTTAGAAACATAATAGTTTAGGGTAGCTGTAAAAGGAAACTAAATACACCAGAATAATTTAATCACCATATTGATGCATGCCTTGTAGATCTCTATTCTGCAATTGAGTACAAATCACTTGGATGTTACAAATACAACATGGAGATGACTGTTCTGGAAGGAACAGACCTGGATGTTCTAGACGGTGACTACAAGCTAAGAACAGATGCAATTGCGAAGTGCGCACTGGCAGCCTTAAAGATAGGATATATTATTTTCGCTATTCATGATGGCGGCTCATGTCTTATCAGTGGATTACACCCCCCAACTTTCAACAAGTTTGGAATCTCACAGGATTGTAAAAGCGATGGAAAAGGTGCACCAGGGGCACATCATGTCTATGTTACTGGGGGTATTCAAGGTATGTTATGGAGCAACTATGAATATATGTGGAGAGTGATTCTAGAGTTCTTGTCTTATTAAGTAAGGACAGTCTCTGTTACTGTTTTGAACGAGAGGTATGTCAGACGTATATTTCCTTGCTGAAAGCAGTTTTACATAAGAATGTCCAAACCACACCACTGGAAAAAAAAGGGAGCTAAAAGCTCATGATATTTCGGCGTGGTGTGATAAAATATGCTATTTGATTAAATTCGGACACAAAGACACAGTACTCGGTATCTTCAAACGATTAGCTCTGGAGACCACAAATTGATCGAGCCTCTCGTTTAGCTATTTACGTACAATTATAGACAAAACATCCTGGTATCGGAGACTCTTTTAGGGGGCACATTTCAGTCTGAGGGTCCATATTAGCGCACGAAAATTAGACTTGGCCCTTATTTAGATAGCCAAATTAGATCTCATGCATATACCGGGTGAATACTGTGTTTTATTTACCGAAAGAGTGCCAAATTCAGGCTAAAAAGACAGATCTGACGAATTCACATGACGTAAATTGACGCACGTACTTGCCAGACCCAGCGTTCATTTTTCCAATATATTTTGCATTACAGCTCTAGCGGATCGCACTGAATCTGGAATTCGTCGGGGATGTTACAAAGACCTACCTGTGCGAGCCATGGAAATCCTTGAAGGAAAAGACCACCTTCTTGACGGCAACTATACCACAAGAAAAAATGCAATCGAGAAATGCTTGCTGGTTGGGAGAGGTCGTGGATATCCAATTGTGGGTATCGAAGATGGTGGTATGTGTGTTGGTAGTCCCACGCTGAAAGATTTTAACAAATATGGAATCTCCCGAGATTGCAAAAGTGAGGGAAAAGGAGGACCTTGGGCCACTGAAGTGCACGCTTTTACATCAATGGAAGGTAGATTAGCACATGTCATAAGACTACATGGAAATTCTTTGAATTCAAGTATTTTCAGATTTGTTTGGGATCTGTCATACAACCTATTAATTAGATTGCTCATAGAGCAAATTAAGAACTAACTTGAAAAGTTTGAAAATTTAAAACTTCATCGTGCGCGCTTGTCTTGGATTTTAGGCTGACAATACAATTGAATTGATAAAGAGCTTTGGATGGAGGCAATATACTTACGGTGGCTGGGTGAAGCCCATAATAAAAGACCTAATTATCCGGAATACAAATTAATATGTCAATACAAAGTACGACTACACTTGACGGGAAAAACACGTAACAGCACATTGATGCTTCAGGCGCTTTCCAATCAGCTTAAAATTCTGGTCCCTGCAAGACGGGGGCAAATGGCAGAAATTCCAGGAGGGAAATAAAATGGAACAGAGATTTTCCCGGTAAGAAATTTTCAAAAAAAATTGGGTGTACCTTGCGGGATTGTCCTCTTTTCCAGAATGCTGTTCCATTTGGCGTTTTTGATAATGCGCTGCTCCTTTCGTTTATGCCATCATTTAGGAACGTGAATTTATGCATGCCCGTCCCTACTAATACAAGATACCAACCCTTCTCTTCAGATTTTCTGTCCTCTGTTAAGTACGAATCACTTGGCTGTTACAGAGATAAACGTGCAGGAGCTATTCCATCCATGGAAACAACCGACGCTCTTCTCAAAGATGATTATTCACTGAGAAATCATGCTATTCAGAAGTGCGCTGTGGCAGCCTTGACACGGGGATATAAAATGTTTGCAATTCAAGGTGGCGGTATGTGTGTTGGTAGCCCCAATGCACACAAGGTGTATGGCAAGTACGGTAAATCACAGGATTGTAAGAATGACGGAAAAGGAGGAGTCGGGGCTAACCATGTTTACAATCTGACAGGAACCATGGAAGGTACGGTGACAAGGATATTGTAAACTGACAGCTGACGGGCTGATTCTCTGTTACCTATCATATTTATTTTTTTGAATTTTGTTTTTAATGATTGATGAATAAAACCAATGTTTTTAACTTATCTTTCTCAACATTAATTATACTCTTGTCGTTTCGTCATTCACAGACATTCTTTCGCCGTTTATTCACATGTATTATGATGATCAAAAGCTTGGATGTTTCAAGGACTCACAAGCTCGTGACATTCCTAGCCTAGAAGGACAGGACCCTGTGCTAGATGGCGACTACACAACAAGACAAGATGCCGCTAGGAAGTGTGCTCTCGCTGCTAAGAAGCGAGAACATAAAGTGTATGTTTTTATGTCCGACGGGCAGTGCTCCAGTGGCGCCGATACTGCAAAGAGTTTTGCCAAGTTTGGCCACGGCGAGACTGAGTGCTCAGCAATGGGGGCTAACAACAAAGTGTATAATTCTGAATATAACAGCGTTGACGGTATGACAGATGGTTATATTCTGAATAACCATGAATAACTGTTTGAACGTACCAAGCCAAAGCTATCTGAAAACTGAATTAAATCAAGAAAGAAAAATATTCTATAAGATAAATTTTAAAATAAAATTGATGAGGCAAACTACCTACATGAGGGAATGGTGCAAACTAACTGAAAATAAACTGGTGCACATTCCGTATTCATTCTAACCAGCTTTGGTCATCTTCATTTCCTAAGAGGTTCCCATGTCATTCAAAAAGAAAGTTGTTAGTTGTATAAAATCAAGCAAGCCATGAATTCAAATTTGTATCGCATTCAGAGGTATATTTCGTCTAAATGGTGTTTCCTAATATCTATTTTATCCCAAAAAGGTTACGTTTGAGGACCGTAATCTTTGCCTGGCGGAAATAGCCGAATAGAACTTCTAATACAACAAAAGCTTTGAGCCTCTCGTTACATTCAAGTTAACTAATAGTGTAACGCATACTTCAATCAATGAAGCTAAATGGTTATGGTAGTAAATTAGTTAGAGTCTAAGTCGCATCTTTTTTAGTAGTAAAACTGCACACAGTGATCGTTATGCCGGCCTGGGATAAAACCCTGGAAATTAATGGCTGATTTGTTTTCTGTCTTGCAGTCCTGCTACCATATATGGAGTACGAGTCTGTTGGATGCTTCAAAGACTCAGACATTGGAAGAGTGGATGGATATCATAACAATTTTCCAAGTGCAACCCTACTAGACAATGATTACAAAACAAGACAACAAGCAATCCAAAAATGCGCTGTATTTGCAAAGCTAAAAGGGTACAAGATGTTTGGGATTCAAGATGGTGGTATGTGTGTCACCAGTGTCAGCGCTCATAAAACGTACAACAAATACGGTGAATCAAAAGATTGTAAAAGCGATGGTAAAGGAGGACCCTGGGCCAATCAAGTTTATCGTTTCCCGGAAAGAAAAGGTAATTCATGTTTTGTGATGACAGGGGCGGACACTATAAATACAGAATCAGAGGGCTCATCTTTTGGCTCCAACTC